GACAAAAAAAAAAAAAAAAAAAAAAAAGATGTGGGTGAGAACATCACCCAGGGAGTCGCCTGGATGGCATGCAGCTGAGGGAATTCGAGAATGGTGGGCCCCGTTATTACAGTGACCTGCTTTTGTCTGGCATCCTAATTCTTGTAACCCCATTGCTAGGCAAGGGCTGGAAGGATGTCCTTCTGGAAGCTACTATTCAGTAATGAAGATGGCTTTCTGTGCCTCAGTGCACAGGCCACATGTGTGCACCCGTGTGTGTGGTCTTACATGTGTGCGTGTACACACACACACACACACACACACACACACACACACACACACAAACACACACACACACCCTCCCTCTTCTGTTTCCTGGAAAAGACTTTGAACACCTGAGGCTGTCCTTTCGGGTCCCCTCTTCCTTCCAGACGTAACAGAGAGGTGAAACTTTCTTCGCCTGCCTTTGGCCAGGCAGGTTTGGGTAGTGGACCATCAAAGTCCAAAGTGCGGCAACCACTTAGCATCATGGTACCCAGAACTCTCTTCATCCTTTGTTCTCTCAACAGGGATGGCCTCATTAGTAAAGACGAAATGATGGCTTACTTCCTGAGAGCGAAATCCCAGCTGCACTGTAAGATGGGACCAGGATTTGTCCACAATTTTCAGGAGATGACCTATCTCAAGCCGACCTTCTGTGAACACTGTGCAGGATTTGTGAGTCTGTTTTCCATTGCTTCCTCTTGTCTGTAGTCATCTGTGTGGCGTTCTGAGAGGGTGGGAAAATGAGCTACTAAGTAGAGTCTGTTGTCTGCTTCAGATCAGAAGTCAAACATGACACTCCCTGAAATTAAAGATTAAATAAAAACAAGGCCGGGTGCAGTGGCTCATGCCTGCAATCCCAGCATTTTGAGAGGCTGAGGCAAAGAGGATTGCTTGAGGCCAGGAGTTCCAGGCCAGCCCGGCCAACATAGAGAGACCCTATCTCTACAATCAATAATTTTTAAAAATTAGCTGGGTGTGGTGGCCTGTGCCTGTAGTCCCAGCTATTCAGGAGGCTGAGGTGGAAGGATCAATTGAGTCCAGGAGTTGGAGGCTGCGGTGAGTTATGGTCATGCCACTGCATTCCAGCCTGGGCAACATAGTGAGACTCTGTCTCAAAAAAAAAAAAAAGGGAGATTAAATAAAAACAAAAGCAAGATCTTCTGGTTTAGCTATTTTCTAAGAATGCAGGGCTGGCAGAGGCAGGGAAGGTTGGTGAGGCCTGTTAAGCCAAGAGCGTGGTTTGTCTATTAATCCCTGCCAGGGAAAGGTATCTGCCCTGGGCCCTGGCATTCATTGCTAATATCCAAAGTGGTTGCAATCAGGGGAGCATTTATCTTAGCCAGTTCCCCCAGCGCCCCTTTCGTGCGGCATTAGTCACCAGGAACCCATCATGGCACAGCTCAATAGTTCACAACCCAAAGTGGAAAAGTTCTTTAGGAGAGAAAATGACTTTAATAATAACACTTAACACTTGACAATAACAAACTACTTCCACTGATGCGAGTGGAATTCATCTCACAACAAGCCCTTAAGGCAGGTGGTTTCCTCTCACTGTTTGCCTATGAAGATGGAGAGGTTCAGAGAAGAGATTCAAGTTTCCCAGATCAACAACTGACCCTTTTTACCCACCTCTAACTAACTAACCCACCCTGTAACTAACTCACCTGCTAACTAATTAAATAACTAACAAACTCACCCTCTAACCAATGAACCCACTTTTAATGAACCCACCCTCTAACTAACAAACCCATCCTTTAGTTAACTAACCTACCTCCTGACTAATCCACCCTCTAACTAATTCACCTGTTAACTAATTAAATAACTGACAGATCTACCCTCTAACTAGTGAACCCACCCTCCAGCTAACTAACCCACCTTCTAACTAACCCACATTCTAACTAACAAACGCATCCTCTAGCTGACTAACTCACCTCCTGACTAACCCAACCTCTAACTAACTCGCCTGCTAACTAATTAAGTAACTAACAAACTCACCCTCTAACCAATGAACCTACTTTTTAAAGACCCCACCCTCTAACTAACGAACCCATCCATTAGTTAACTAACCTACCTCCTGACTAATCCACCCTCTCACTAACTCACCCACTAACTAATGAAATAGCTAACAGACCCACCCTCTAACTAGCAAACGTACCCTCTAGCTAACTAACTGACTTTCTGACAGCCCATCCTCTAAGTCACTAACTAACTAACTGATTCACCCTCTAACAAAACCAGCCTCTAAGGAACCCTCTAGCTAACTAAATAACTAACAGACCCACCCTCTCAATAGCGAAACCACCCTCTACCTAACTAACCCACCTTCTAACTAACCCACCCTCCAGCTAACCCACCCTTTAACTAACTCACCCGCTAACAAACAGACCCACCCTCTAACTAACGAGCCCGTCCTTTAATGAACACACCTAGCTAACAACCCCACCCTGGGAGGAGAGGAGATGGGCTTCTCTGAGAATCTGTGCCCGATTGCATGGTCAGGGCTGGAGCATGTAATCACGAGCAACCCATCTCCTTTCTCATGTTTCTCTGGTCTTTCTCTCCTGATGGCATTTTCAGAAGTATCTAGACCCAGAAAAAGCAAGATTCTGGGCGTGGTGGCCCACACCCATAGTCCCTGCTCATTGGGAGGCTGAAGCGGGAGGATCACTTGAGCACGGGAGTTCCCGTCCAGCTGGGCAACATAGCAAGATCCCATCTCCAAAAATTAAAAAAAAAAAAAAAAAAAAAATCCCAAGATCTCCCTGCTCTCCATCCCTCTGTCCTGCCCCTCCTTTCACAGGGATGCTGGTTCTGTGGGGGCAGTGGGTGGTCTTTCTCGTGAGCACCATATGCCTCCCCCTGACTCATCGGAGCAGAGCTGCTGGTGCCATGTTCCAATGTAGCCGTAGGTAACGTAAACACTCAGACCCAAAAGCCTGGAACCCTGGACTTGAATCCCTGAGCTCTGACTCTGTCCTCAACGAGTGACTCACCACGTTGGAGTCTGTTTTCGAATCTGTAGGAGAGAGTTCATGTTATTGAGGTGACAAAATCCTATGAGACGTGTCGCATGTCACATAGCTCAAGGTACACATTTCTGTTTTCAGGGTTCCTTGAAACTTCAAGAATTTAATAGAAATGGACTCCATTTTAATTCTTATAACTTTTTATTTTTAAAGATATATTTAATTTCATTGGTACAACTTGATTTGAACTTCATTCACACTCATTTTTTTTTTT